TAGGTCTCAATCAGTCTTCTTTGGAACCTCACTCTCCCGTGTTTAAAGGAGAGGGCTTTCATCAAAAAGTAGAGGAAAGCACGACCATCCATGAAAAGGATATTTTTGTGACAAAAAGGTCCCCACAACACCTAGTACATTCCAAATTTACCCCTAGCCCTAATTAATGAACACAATTGGATCCCTCTCACATCGCAAAACAATCAAGAGCTAGCATCCTCAGCCTTTGACCCAGAGCATCAATCAAGCGAAGGAGTTCCTTATAATGCAGAGTAACTTTAAGCCATTGGAGATCCCTGCAACATCACCGACAGTAAGTGGGCTAGAGCTGCGGATTTCTTGAGTATAGACCAACAATGTTGAGAGTAAGCAGAACACCAGCAAGAGCATCATCTTTGACAGCATCTCCTCTCCTTTTAGTTTAACCACAACAGCATTATCCTTTCCCCTTAAATGGACCAAGTAACATGACCTCTCCCTTCCCCGATATACCAAACATGTTTTGGATCCAAATTCCCATTCCCTTTCTCATCCCATTTTATACCAAACAGGGTCAGATTTCTTCTCAAAGCAGCGCCCAAACATATGTAAAAGGATACATAAGCATTCTTGTCAGAATTGAAGACCACCTCATCACCTGCGTTCAGGATCAGGCAGGAATTTTTTTTGTAATTCCTGCCATTAACTTGGACGGCACCTTTATCCCCTGTGATTTCCAGTAATCCAACAGACGAACCTCCATGCTATGCAAGTTTAAATAATCATGGTGATCAGGGCTCTATCAAAGGTTATACATTGTGATTAAAAATTTTCTTTCATGAGAAATTCAGGACCCCTCGTGCTACAGCTGAACAGAGATTCATTGATCTCAAATATTATATATATACATATATGTCAGTGTGTGAGGGTGAGAATGCGCATATATACATATACGGCAACATAATTAAATTTCAACAATCATGCATGTATGTTGCGAGTGTAACCCCCCCCCCCCCAAAAAAAAAAAAAAAACAGAGAAAGAAAGGAAAAGACTTGTTTGTCACACCTACGATGTACAGCCAGTGGACCCTCTATTACTCAGCTAAATCCCGTAAATTTCCAAGATATAGGTAGAAGTTCTACCTTGGTGAGCTTCAGCTTGCACAAAACATTACTGACAGCTGGATCATTAAGCCATAAATTGCATTGACGGCCATGACCAACAGTGAATTGAGAACTGCACAAGGACAAATGTCGATTCTGGAGAAACATGAGAAATAAAAACACATTAATTTCAAATCCTAGAAAAGTTATGACCAGAAATGAAGGAGCACTCTAACCAGAAGAGGGAATCATAAATTGGTTCCCACTTCTCACCTAAATTCATTATCTTCAATTTATAAACTGCTGCGGAAAATGAAGGAACCAAAACCTTTACTTTGGAATTCAACAATATTCAGACCAAATACCATATAAGTAATAAAGGCATTGGCAACAAAAAGAAGAAGATAGATAACAATGTACTAAAAGCTGCAGATTCATCATCCTTATTGTTGTGCAGAAGCAGAACAAAAGTCTTTAAGGACAAACAGAACTTTTTGTTTATTAACCATGCATGCAACATTACTGACAAAAATTTGAGAAGGATAACATTTCACACCCAGAATACATAAAACATTCTGGCATGACATTAAGTTAAAATAATAATGATGGTGATGGTGAGGGCGATGTCACCAAGAAGACAGATTTTCTCAATGTTAATAGTTTAGCCTTTAAGAGTGTGTGTGTGTGCGCGTGTGAAATTTGGTCACGCCGGTTTCTTGCAGAATCCTGCGAGCCACGCTAGCAGTGATAACTAGAGACGGATGGAGAACACCCAATAAGGAGTGAATATACACCTGCGAACACTGAGAAAGAAGCCTTCCCCACGCAGCCTTCGGGCTCGTTTTAGTTGATTTCGTCGGGCGTTTCTTGGACCGGGCATCGGCGGCCGCTCCAACCAACTTTGATTTCTCTCCATCCACCGCAGTTTCACCTGAGCTCGCCATGGTTTCACAATAACAAACAACGTGAGAAACGAACGCATGCATACAAGCACGAGCTCCCAATACAAATCAATATGACACAAAGACGAAAGAAGGCCATTTCGCACCCAGAGGCGGCGGCCATGTCAAATCCTCGCCTTCGATGATGGCCATGGCGGGAGATTGGTCAGATATCGTCGCGTCACAATCCTCCACGCCTTTCAACGAATCAGTATCTGGAAGATTAGACGGACTTGGCTCCGTCTCTCGTGATTCATTTACAGGTTCGTTGACAGGACCAAGAAATTCCGCTGACGGCGGACTTCTTGACGAAGAAGCCTTGGGCACCTAGGTTTTGGAGAGCACAGCGATCAATTCCAGCAGAAAAAAAATAGGAATTTTCATGGAAACCCCCATAATCAGATGAGAACAGTGAAATTCACGTCGAAACAAATCAGCTAGGAGCACTATAGGCAACAAAAATAATACCTTGGGTCGTTTGACGTTGGAAGAGGAGGATGAAGAGAGAGAGCGCTTGGAAGTAGACGAGCCCCGTCTGGTTTCGACCATGATGCTGGCTTCGTTTTAGTTGCGCTAGGTCCCTCTTCACCCCTAAATCCAGCAAGAATCAAAGAGAAGCGGAGGAAATGGCTGTGACACAGAGACGAATGATTGCGGGAAATCCCGTTATCAAGGTTTGTGTATTTGTTGGTTTCTTGTGTATCAAATGATATAAAAATATAAACAGATGTTATTTATTTATCATAAATTATGATGTGAGACGATGAGAGAAACGGAAGAGTGACCTGTGAGATTGCGATGATGCGACCTGAGAAGCCGTGAAACGGGGTTCAGGAACGATAAAAGATGGTCAAGGTCGGGGCTGGCGGGAGGCTGGAGGCCGGAGCGGTGTCGTTGGCGGTGAAATTTATGTGGTGTAGTCGAACAGTGGGACTCGAAGCGATGGGGAGTGGCGAGGTGTCTGGAGAGGAGGGCCCTGGTCAGATGGGATGGATCCCTATGAAGTGGGCCCACAATCAGTTATATGAACTGTACTACTTTCCCGGTTTCTTGTTGGCCAAGAAAAAGCTTCCCTCTGCCTTTGGCCTAAAGCCCGTGATTTTATTATTAATTATTAATAAAAATAAAAATGCACGCCTGTAATTTCTTAGACCATATTTATGTTTTTATTTAATGTAGATATAATATCATATTTTGTAATTTGGATTGAAAACTTAGTTTTAAGATGCTACCTCTGGTCCTTAATATAAAGCTTATTTGACTTTTATTTTAGTCATACATATGAGACCTCAATATATTTTATCTCTCATATTTATCTATTTTTTTAAGTAATCCGCATAATAATAATAATTCTAACCAATACACTTGATTAACAGAAATATTTTAAGAAATATAATATATATTTATTACATATAACTAACTTAAATAATTTTTTAATTTATCTAAATTAAACAACTAGTTCTTATATTATATTAAGGATCGAAATTAGTACTCTTCCGGTTCTTAATATAAGATCTATTTAACTAATTTAATTAGATTAAAAAAGTTGGATAAGTTAGTTAATTATAAGAAATATAACATGTTTTTTCTAAAATACCATAATCATCTTTTTTAATATCCCTTCTCTCTCTTCTACTTGATTGTGATTGAGGGAAGATAATTTTAAAAAAATTGATAAATGTAAGAAATGGTTCTTATATTTAAAACTAAAATTAACTTAATAATCAGGTTTTATGTTAAAAACATGAGGATTATGTAATATGTTACAGGATCTTTTTAATTATTACAGGTCTTGGGCTACTCGCATTCATTCTCAACAAAGACAAGCCAAGTCTCTATCGTTAAATGTTCACTAAATATTCCTAACCATCATTGAAATCCAACTGCCACGCTTTTCTGGGTAGTCACACGCTGGGAATGATTTTAGTGGACAATGTCGAAGCAAATTGTTGTCAATACTCCTTCTTGGGGAAACCACCAATCAGAATCATGGCCAAAGAAACTAACTTTAAATCAAAATCAATCTTAACTCCAATTAAAATGCTTGTTTCCATAGACTATTTCTAAAAATTAAATCTATGCTGTAAAATTAATAAAAACTTGACCGATAAATAATAACGATAAGGGAGAGTCAGGTGAGCGAAAGCAATAAACCTTCTTCTTCTTCTTTTTTTGGCCACGGAAAGCAATAAACACAACTCATTCCCTTTGGAGGCTATAATGTTTTAATATATGAATTTATATGCTCGTTCACCCTCGATGAGTATTACGGAGTGTTTAGTACATGCGAGTAACATTTTTATTTTTATTTTATTTTTCTGTGGGATCTTAAGTTGTAACTTTCACTTGCAGATATCTAATTTAAAAACTCAGCTTAAAAGTTATAGAATCGTTAAATACTACTCTGCGCGATTATTATAAAATATAAAATCAGGGGACGAGCGCTGACCCAAAAAAAATTGTGTGGAGGCTGCATGACAGCGAGCTTGGAATTAATCCTCAGAAAAAACAATTAAACGGTCAGAGCATGCATATAACCAATCAGCTTAACGCGACAAAACACTCACTACACTGGCTTGTCAATTACTTTGTGTTGTGTGAGAATGAAAGAAAGGAGCTTCTGTTTGGGAAAAAAACAGAAAAAAGGGAGGGGGGGTTGGAAGAAAGGAGGTTCCAAATCACTGAGAGAGAGGTCTAAAGAGGGGCATCGTGCGAGAGCCTTCAACTTCATTACTCTGGACTTAATGTTTCGATTAGCCTCACGTATCGAGAGGGCTAAGCTACAGATGTGGCGTGGACGGCGACGTAAATGCGCATGCCCTTAAGGCGTCAGAGATTGCAGTTGGTTTAGTGTTAACAAAAGAACAAATAAAGCAGTAAATATGCTCCTCCGAGAAAGTAACCAGTACCCAAGGAGCCTACTGAGTAGCACAAAACTAATTCATTGGAACTGGATCAAAAGAGCTATTGAGAAACAAAGGGCACGAGAAGCGCTTCGCAGCAAAGAAACCTGGGCTCGTAATAAACCACCAAATTGGCATAACTGATGGCTCATTATTGTGCCGCAGAGGAGGTTCCTTCACCATTGGTTGACACGCTTGGGCTCTCCTCAAAGATTTTAGCGATCCGATCTTTCGGAATCAGCGGCAGGTATGTTGCCGCCGTGTAGTTCCTGGATGCCATATAAGAAACAGCCCGATTATACTTCTCCGACCAGTCCGCCGCCGTGGGAATGGCAAGTTCAGCCACTTGTGGGAATAGCGGAAGTCGATTCAGCGTGCGCCAAGTTGATACCGCATAGTGCTCAGCCAACGGCTCGTACTTCGAGTAAAGCTCCTTAGCCGCTGGCTCGTACTTAGAGTAGACATTCTTCGTTATGCTTTTTGTGGCGTCCAGCACCCCGTCGCGTCGTATTTCCGATGCGATAGTTCGAGCCACAACTGGAGCCTTCTGCACCACAGTAATAGCATGGCTCGATGCGTGCTTTAATAATGAGGGCACATGGCGTTCCACCTCGATTACGGACTTGTCTACCTGCATACAGATCGTGATTAGCCATAAAGTATCCATGAAATAACGATCCAAGACCAAAGGAACATTGCTAACCTGACGATCAGCAAAAATGAGGAGCTTGAATGGAACGTCGTGGAACATCTCATGAATAGGTCCGACCACGGTCTTGACGGTTCCTTCCACTGTCTCAACTCCCTGCTTTAACGGACCAGAATTTTCTTTGGCATATGCATAGAAGTTTGAGAGGTAAACAGTGGCATAGATCGATGCCACTCGAACGAAATCCAGATACTTCAAAGTTCCCTCTTTTTCCTGGTCCTGAGACAAGGGGAAAATTTGAGACAGGCAGAGAAGAAAAACAGATCATCGTAAATTGGGATACATTCGACGATGGTTGGTTTGTTTGATTCAATTATCGAACCATTATATGAGCATCATTGGATATAAACCCCAGTTTCGTTTCTCGACGACCGTAAATGCAAACTAAAAGGAGCAAATGACAATAGAAACTTCCAGAAAAGATACAGAAATGGGGAAGAGACTTGTACTAGATCCGGACGATTGCCTTCGGATTCTGCCATGTTCTGTTTCCTTGTTGCAATCGCTTGTATGGCTGATTTCCCTGGGGCGTTCGCATTCCGTGCTCATCATCTTGATGAGCACGGAGTGCTCAGCACTCAAAACGTGGACGTTTTGAGTGCTGAGCATGAGGGACCCTTTTTTTTAATTACAAAAAATATATATGTATTAGAATTATTTTTAGTTAAAGTTTATCTAATACTCTTAAATATTATTTTACACATATTTAATACTTCTCCGGTCCTTAATATATGACCCAATTCTTGAGTTGGTTTTGGTTCTAAATATAAGACTCATTTATCATATTTATTAATTTTCTCTAAATTACCCCTATGGATCCTCTCTTAACCATAATCAAGTAGAAGGGGAGGTGAGATATTAAGAAAGATGATTATAGTGTTTTAGAAAAAATGTGTCACTTTTTCTATAATTAACTAGCTTATCTAACTTCTTTAATCTAATCAAATTAGTTAAATGGGTCTTATATTAAGGACCGGATGAGTATTTTAAAATATTTTATCATATCCTGAAATATTTTCTCATATGTATTTAGTATTCTAAAATATTTTCTGACAATGCATTTGAAAAAATATTTAAGAATCTAGTATTTTAAAATATTTTGTGATCTATTTGGTACCTAAAATATTTTTTCATATATGTTCATTATTTTAAAATACTTTGTGACTGGGCTTACCTAAAAACATATTTTAGGATCTAGTATTCTAAAGTCTTTTATGATTTATCTAGTATCCTGAAATATTTTTAAGTATTCTAAAATATTTTATGATACAATATCAAGAAATAGAAAATTTTTTAAAACATTAAATGGTTGTGAAAAAATATTTTAAGGTACTAAATAAATCATAAAATACTTGAAGATATTGAAAATATCTAAAAAAATATTTTTGAGTACTAGATAAATGTTAACCAAAAATAATTTTAATACATACTTCTTCTGATTCTTAATATAAGAGTTAGTTTCACTAATTCAAGTATACTACAAAAATTAGCTAAATTAGTCAGTTGTAATAAATAAGTGTTGTTTTCTCTCAAATGCCTCTCAGTAATTATGTGTATTAACTAAAATCAACAATTGATTAAATCTTTAACACATACAATTATTATAAGGACTATATTGAAAAAATAAATATATATATAAGAGATAAAGTTGATTAGAATATTATATTTAAGACTAAATTAAATATTAAGATAATTTTTATATTAATAATTTGAGATGGTATAAATTTTTTTATAACAAAAAAATAAAGTAAAAATAAAAATAACAGCGTTTTGAGTGCTGAGCACTCCGTGCTCATCAGGCTGATGAGCACGGAATGCGGATCCCTCCTTTTCAGGCCATCTCTGAGTCTCCGTATTCCTCGACTCTGGATCTCCCAGGGAAAGGACCGCATTCCGTGCTCATCAGCCTGATGAGCACGGAGTGCTCAGCACTCAAAACGCTGTTATTTTTATTTTTACTTTATTTTTTTGTTATAAAAAAATTTATACCATCTCAAATTATTAATATAAAAATTATCTTAATATTTAATTTAGTCTTAAATATAATATTCTAATCAACTTTATCTCTTATATATATATTTATTTTTTCAATATAGTCCTTATAATAATTGTATGTGTTAAAGATTTAATCAATTGTTGATTTTAGTTAATACACATAATTACTGAGAGGCATTTGAGAGAAAACAACACTTATTTATTACAACTGACTAATTTAGCTAATTTTTGTAGTATACTTGAATTAGTGAAACTAACTCTTATATTAAGAATCAGAAGAAGTATGTATTAAAATTATTTTTGGTTAACATTTATCTAGTACTCAAAAATATTTTTTTAGATATTTTCAATATCTTCAAGTATTTTATGATTTATTTAGTACCTTAAAATATTTTTTCACAACCATTTAATGTTTTAAAAAATTTTCTATTTCTTGATATTGTATCATAAAATATTTTAGAATACTTAAAAATATTTCAGGATACTAGATAAATCATAAAAGACTTTAGAATACTAGATCCTAAAATATGTTTTTAGGTAAGCCCAGTCACAAAGTATTTTAAAATAATGAACATATATGAAAAAATATTTTAGGTATCAAATAGATCACAAAATATTTTAAAATACTAGATTCTTAAATATTTTTTCAAATGCATTGTCAGAAAATATTTTAGAATACTAAATACATATGAGAAAATATTTCAGGATATGATAAAATATTTTAAAATACTCATCCGGTCCTTAATATAAGACCCATTTAACTAATTTGATTAGATTAAAGAAGTTAGATAAGCTAGTTAATTATAGAAAAAGTGACACATTTTTTCTAAAACACTATAATCATCTTTCTTAATATCTCACCTCCCTCTTCTACTTGATTATGGTTAAGAGAGGATCCATAGGGGTAATTTAGAGAAAATTAATAAATATGATAAATGAGTCTTATATTTAGAACCAAAACCAACTCAAGAATTGGGTCATATATTAAGGACCGGAGAAGTATTAAATATGTGTAAAATAATATTTAAGAGTATTAGATAAACTTTAACTAAAAATAATTCTAATACATATATATTTTTTGTAATTAAAAAAAAGGGTCCCTCATGCTCAGCACTCAAAACGTCCACGTTTTGAGTGCTGAGCACTCCGTGCTCATCAAGATGATGAGCACGGAATGCGAACGCGAAAAGGAGGGATCAGGGGACGAGAAGGAGCGTTACAACGAGTCCGCCATTTTATAGCGATCCTTGGCCTGGCGATGATCTCGAGGGCCATTGAGAATTCTACGTGGCAGTCATGCGTGAACTGGGAGGTCAAAAGAGTCAAGATGGGGAGGGGCCACTCTCCGCCTCTGCGTGCCACTGGGCAAACGTGCAACGATGGCCACGCTGCCACGTGTCATTGAAGGAGCTGGGAGGGTCAGGGACATATCGAAACGTGGAGCTACCGGATCACAAGCTTTATTTGCATGTCAAGCGGAGGAGTGGGGTATTTGGCACGTGGCACATGGCATGAAAAGCTGAACAAGCATGGGCTGTGGAACGAATGTTAAGATGGCTAGGCCCATCGGCTTGTTTAGAAAAAGTTAGTTAAAAAAAAAAGATATTTGAAAATTTTGTGTGACTTGCTTTTCCTATTGATGATTGTTACACGTTATTAATAATATATTATACATAGTAAAAGATATGTTACATTCACAGTTTATAATTACACTCATTTAAATTGAGGTTCTTTCAACCAATTAAATTTTCAAACAGGAATTTTTACTAATTTTCCCATATATTTATCCTATTTTTATATTTATTATTTATTTTATTTTGATGCAGTGAAATTTACTACTAGCTCCTGTTACCCACTTTGTTAATTTATAAAGATTAGGAAAATTAAAAAATTACTTTGAAGGATTTATATTTTAAAATTAATTTGTCCAATTTGTAAACTTGCATGCAATCTAATAATTTCATATAAATCATGTAACATGTGCTTTAATTTCTTTAATTCTTTTAAATTAATTAATTGAGTTTTATACTAAAAGTATATGAGAATCAGAAATATCCGTCTCTAGCTTGTTGGGGAAAATTTATCATTTATTAAAAGGCTTCTAATACCATTCCAAATGATCCTTCACTTTTCTCGTTGGGTGGAGATGTGCTGAAATATCTGTCCTTCAAACAGCATTTTCCTCAGGATTGCTTCTCTGCCCGCATTCACAGTGGGCTGGGTCTGCGGTCTGCCCAACCCAACTATTACTATGCCCAAGATAAATCACCATGAAGGACAATTTTATTTTATTCGTATTAAAACCCCTGGCAAAAAGATTTCGGTTGACTCTGATCAAGGTCGGTGAAGGAAATATTTCTCGAGTTTATTTTCTTTACATAGTGGAGAATTACTACATCCGGTTTTTAATATAAAAACCAACTTAACATTTAATTTGGCTTTAAATATGAGACTTTAATTTACTTTATCTTTAATACACTTTCGGTCCTTAATATATGATCTAATTGTTGAACTAGTTTTGATCTTAAATATAAGACCTATTTCTCATATTTATCAATTTTCTCTCTAAGTTACCCCTATAGATACTCCCTCAGCCATAATCAAGTAGAAGAGGGAGAGGGGGTATTAAGAAAAATGATTATGGTGTTTTATGAAAAACATGTCATATTTCTTATAATTAACTAATTTAACTAACTTCCTTAATATAATAAAATTAGTTAAATGGGTCTTATATTAAGGACCGGGAGAGTATTTATCTAATTTTCTTAAAGTAGTCATTATAATAGCTATATATGTTAAATATTTAATCAAATGATAGTTTTAGTTAATACTACATCCGGTCCTAATTATAAGAACTAATTAACTAATTTGAGGAAATTAATAAAAGAATTTAAGTTAGTTATCTGTAATAAATAGGTGCTGTCTTTTCTAAAATAGCATTGTTAATCAAGTGCATTGGTTGGAAATACTATTGCCAGAAAGACTACCTTGAAAAAATGCATAAATATGAGAGACGGAATAAATTGGGATCTTATATTTATGACCAAAATAAAAGTCAAACAAGGTTTTATATTAAAGACCAGAGGTAGTACATAATATTAGTAAGAATATTTTAAGAAAGATAACGCCTATTTATTACAAAAAACTAGTTTTACTAATTTTTTTATGATTTATTTAAAATGGTTTATAAGTAATTTTTTGGTCGTGATTTATGAATTACAAGGTAAATATGTGATATGAGTTTTGTATCAGTTTAGTAATTTTCAACGTGGTGACAAACAAAGTCTTAATCTTTCTCAATTAGTTAACTTATCTCTTCGGGCCCCGAAAGAGTTAAAGGATTATAGCAACGATGAAAATAAAAATAAGATTACAAATTATGCAGGAATCGGGACATGAATTTCAACAAAGATTGCCTCAGCAAACACTCTCCAACTGTTTCGCATGAAGGCAATTTTTGAGTCCAACTTGCCAAGCTAATCGAGGTCCAAAAAAAAACTTGCCCATCTGATATTTCTTTTTAAGGGTTAATACAAATTTTGGTCCCTGAAATTTAAAATGTGTGGTATTGGTCCCTCAAATTATGTCTGTTTCAGACTGCTAGTCCCTGGCATCTTGGCACCGTTAAATTTTGCTGATGTGGCGTTAACACCATTAACCGATGAGTTGGCATGTAGGTGGCATATAACCTAGACATGGTATTGGTCCCTCAAATTTGGAGTCATTTTGGTATTGGTCCTTGAAATTTAAAACTGATGGTATCGGTCATTCAAATTATATCTGTTTCTGGCCATTGGTTCCTGATAGCTTTAGGCCGTCAAATTCGTCTGAGTTGGCACTAACTTTGTCAACCTATGATATGGCATTTGACTTGGCAACTAAAGCTTGATGATACGGCATGAGCGATGGAAGGTTGTGGTTGAAGATAAACCATGCAATTTGGGATTCACTTTTGTTAAAACACAAAGCTTCTGCTCCTATATTAGTGTGGAGGAAACGCGGTGCATTGTCAGCTAAATCTTCTACCTCCTCTGTTGACTTTGGCCAAAAGGGTGACTTAACAGTTCATGAGAAGAATAAGCCGGCTTCAGATACAAAACCACCCCCATTGAAGCCATCTTCTTCTGATACAGATGATGATGAACCTCCTAAGAAAAAAGAGAAGCCCATCACCAGAGCGGGAAGCTTGAGAAGAAGCAACGAGAACCTCACTGGCAACTTCAACAAGAAGGCAAGCGCAACCAGTAAGCCACTAGAGCCGCCGAGACCAGATAAGAGCAGAGCAAAGGGTTCTACAGGAACAGATAAAAAGAGGAGGGCCTAAAGCTATCAGGGACCAACGGCTAAAAACAGATATAATTTGAGGGACCAATACCATCGGTTTTAAATTTCAGGGACCAATACCAAAATAACCCCAAATCTGAGGGACCAGTACCATGTCTAAGTCATATGCCACCTACGTGCCAACTCATTGGTTAACATTGTTAACGCCACGTCAACACAATTTAACGATGCTAGGATGTCAGGGACCAACGGTCTCAAACGGACATAATTTGAAGGACTAGTACCACACGTTTTAGATTTCAGGGACCAATATCAAATTGGGCTCAAATTTGAGGGACTAAAATTTGTATTAACCATTCTTTTAATTTAGAAAGCTACATTTAGTTTATATTAATATATTTTGGTTTATATCATGCTGAAAATATATTTACTCATAAAAGTGAATTAAAAAACATGTTATTCTAATACAAGTAAATTTTTTAAAAATTTAAAAATTAATGTCAATGCAATACGAGGCATGATAAATTTTAGAGTAAAATACTCTGACTACTTTTCTGTTTTGGCTCAATTACACAGACCTCCCTTTTATTTTAATAACATATATTTCAGTCTGAACTATTAACACGGTTAAGAAATATTTTGAAAAGATTATGTAGGCACATTTTTTAATTAAAAAAAATATTAGAATAAACCTTGTTTCCTATTTTACCTCTCATTATATTGAATCTGTAGTTTATCTTTTAATATTAATATTTTTTAATAATCTATTTAATATTTTACTAAATTTAATGAATTAAAACATAACATTATAATTTTATTGAAAATACATATATATACAATTACAAAACATTTTTTGATAATATATATTTAAAAAACTACATCACAAGTAAGTTTAAATAAATAAGCAAGATTTATTGTAAAATAAAAATTTTGTATTTATAAAAATAATAAAATTTATAATATGGTAATCAGTTCAATAGTATAACAAAAATATTAAAATATTTATTAAAATTATTTTTTTAATTTCAAATAACGATGTATGATATGTCATTAAGTGATAATTATTAAAGAATATTTGTATTAAGAATAGATATCTAGTCAAAATAATGGGTCAGTCCTATAATTTAAGGTCAACTAACAAATAGATAGATGGGAGTTGAATCTCAAAACTAGAAAGGAGGTTTGTGCAATATATATTTTAATTTTTAGGGAGGTCTATATAAGTTTTCAAAATAAAAAGGAGGTCTTTGTAATTTAAGTTAAAGAGAGGGGATGTTGATGCATTCTGTCTTGAAAGCCATAAAAAATTTTTAAAAAATATTTTTTTAATAAATCGAGACATAATTTTTCATTTACGTGTTCACTTCAAAATTCGAAAACTCATTTTGGAAAAGCTAATCCAAATTCCTCCCAGATATAAAAGTGATAACATCATTATCTGTTTGACTGCTGGAAATTTAAAATTTGAATTTTTATAGTACAAAGTGACGAGAAAATGACCACAAAAATATCAATTAAATTTTAGAATAACACATAGGTAATATTAATATATCAAAATAGTAAGAATCACCCTTTTGACATTTTCAAATTCAAGTGGTACTTTTAGATTATTTTTTTAAAGGATAATTGATAATTGATATAGAATAATATTTAAAAGCATTTGAATGGAGTGCCGCGGGACACCATTTATTAAGATAAAGCAGCCAGCGGCAATACTTCTCCTGAAAAGAAAACAGGGGCAGTTCTGTAATTATCTGACCCGATGGGCTCCTGCGGCTCGTTGTTATATGAATCCAATGCGTCCTCGGTGAATCCCCTCGCTCATTTCGTGACTTCAGAGCTTTTTTGGGTCTCCGTAGAGTTCAGGAGCCGTTGTAGAAATTCCATCTGCATTGATCATGGTTTGGACTTCTTTCCCTCATTTCATTTTTTTACCTGATCTGTTTCCTCTTGTTCTTTTTTCGCAGTGTGATTCCTGATGGCAGTTAGGGTTTACATAATCTATGTACAATCCGATTAAATGCATGCGCCTTGAGCCCCTGATTCTGTCCTTGGTCCGCTTTTATCTATATTTGGGGCCTAGTCACCGAATTGGGGTTGATTTTCGATCTTGTTGGTAATTAAAGACGAAACAAGCATTTGGGATTTCATATATCTGTCTTGATTCAAATGTCGACTTGTTGGATCTTTGGGTTGTTCATCTTTTTTCCCTTTTGTGCGGCCGCTTCTCTATTTTAGCCTATTGCAAGAATACTCTTGCTTTAAACTCTATTTCACTAGTTAAGTTTTTGCTTGTAATCTGATCCCTGTCAATAAGTGACGAGTTTTTGTAATTCAATATGGGCATTTTTTGGTTGGCTTTCTGACCATAGCAAACCAACCCTTCTTATGACAGGATGGGCATGACTCCGAAGATCCAAAGCAGAGCACTGCAGATATGACAGCCTTTGTAAGTTGTCAGCTCTACAATTTGAAGGATTAATGGTTTTCTATAGTTGCATTTGTTAATGTCAATTCCATCAGTAACTGATTTTGTAGCACCTGGTATTTCTCAGGCTGGTTTATTTGGCATTTGAATCCATTATTATTGAGGGATTGTCTTCTGGCAAATTGATGTGTTTGATGTAGAAGTGGGAAAGCTTTTTCTTATATTTTTATGTGTTTTTATGTGAATTAATTCTGACTCTTATATGGCCCTTTTCCACTTCAGGTGCAAAATCTTCTTCAGCAGATGGTGAGCTATTTAGTGTAGGCTCTTATTATTCGTTGTTGGTTATCAGAGTATATTCACCTATTGCTAACGAGACTTCTTTTTCCCAGCAAACTAGGTTCCAGACTATGTCAGATTCCATAGTCACAAAGAATATCCTTTTTAAGTTATGGCAGTATATTTGCTACTATGTGTGTTTGGGTTTTGTTGTTGTTTTTCTTGGGCGCAGAAGATGTGCTGATTTCTTTTAATTTTAATTTTCTAGAAACAATATTAGGAGGAGGTTAGATGATAGAAGGCTAAAGTAGCTTACAGTCCATGAACCTACACTTAACATTAGATTTTTGTTTTTTTTAACAAAAATCATCAAAACTTTTGTTCAGAACTTAAACGGAATTTCTCTGTATCTGATTGTGAGGTATTAGTGCCCAAAGCAATGACATGTTATCCTGTATGACCAATCACGGAAGTGGTGTAGTGCAACTGCATAATTGCAAAATTTCTGGCTCGCTAAATTAATTGGTCTAGGCGGGATTTTATTGATATCTATTTTATAACATGATATTGTGGCGTGAATTCCTATCATGCTGAAATGTTTTCCTTGACGTCAATGCACTTGATGAGATGGGAAACCGTATAAACGAGTTGGAGCAAAGCATCAATGACCTTAAAGCGGAGATGGGCGTGGAGGGCTCACCATCACCTGCGGCGCCTGCTAAGCCAAAGCAAGAAGAGGGATCTTCTTAAGTCATGTTCGTGTTAAAGTGCTTTTCCTTATTTTCTTGCGTTACATCAGGATTCTAGTATTGTGGCGTCTATCTCTATGCGTAGTGGTTCATCAAGCACTGAGAAATGTGAACAGAGTGTGCTCCTTTGTATCTAATTATTTTACTGTTCGTAAAGAGAAACCAGTTTTGCTGACTAAGTGGTTGTGTTTCCCATTTGACATGGGCTTGATTGAGATCTATTAGTGTGGGGGACAAATTAAGATACTTGATACTTCCGTATTTCATATGTTGCGACTATTTTGAAACTTCTCCCAAATCCCGAGCAAGGACTGAGCTATCAGTGCTACTGTCGCTCTAGTTTGAGTTCTAGCAAGTCGACATATAACATATTTGATGTTTAGAGGGGACAGTATTTTGGTAGTTTCTAGGACCGCGACCCGTAAACCTAGTCATTGGAAAGAAACGACTATTCTATTAGCCAGTATTTGGACTGTGTGAGGCATATTTTGGGAAGAGCGTCTTTTTTCTCTTTTTTTTTTTAATCAAAAGAAGATAGTCAAATTTGCTTCACTGATGGTAGATACTTATTTTCTTAAATTATAACTTATTTAGAATAATTTATAAGTGGATTTTTAATTATAATTTACAAAATCTGAGATACATATATAAAGAGAGTCATATCTCGAAACTTACAAGGCCTGCGATGGTAACAATGGCATCTCTAATCGCAAAATCTTCAGCCTTACTATATGATTCTCCCTTTCATGAAAACAATAGTACAATGCTTCGAGATACAAGAAACATGAGTATTTAGACTTGGGAGGTGTTTGGTAGAAATAAAATTATGGTTTTAAAAATATATTTGATACTAATCAAATCAGATAATAGAAATTTATCTGACTAATGAAGTTCTAGTATTGTATCATTGTATCCACGCGGATTTGAATGCCATGCCTTTTGGAAGTTACATTTTTATTGATTGGATCATTTTTTGTTAATTTTTTTTTCAAACTTAAAATATGCATGCTTTGTTTTTATTTAATAGACACATGTGAAGCACGTGAATTTAAGCATCTAAAATTTTTCACTACATTCACCACAGGAAAAAAAAAAAACAAGGGGGGTGTTTGAATTGCTCAAAATTTGAGCCCTCACACAGGATAATCCTTCAACCACCAGCGTTTCTCTTCTTTTTGCCAAATTTCTTGAGAACGATTGCTTTAAGAATAATCACTCTCTCATCGCCCGAAGAAACTAGTACGTGATTTTAAAAAAAAAAATTGCTTCTTGCATCCGTGTCTCAGCTGAAGTTTACTCGCGGGGATCACTCCGCGATGCCCAGTTTCTGAGAAAGAAGGCGAAGCTCAACGGGAGGTTTTCGCCACCGAATTCGTTACAATTACAAAAAGGCTGCAAATGCTCAATTGTTTCTAATCACTGATTTACAAATTGCAAGATAGGTAATCATCAATTACTTTCTCGTAATTCTTTTTTTATAACTACAGAAACACAAACCAATTAGAATCCCAAATAGGGAATTAAAATTAGCTCAAGAAAGGGCAAGGGAGAAGCGCACAAGAGAATTAACGGCAAAATAATAAAGAACTACACCCATAAGCTACAACTCCAATTTACAAGTCTAGAATCCATCCATAGGCGACAAACCTTTTTTAACTAAACATGCGTGATTATTTGAGTAGCACATATACTGTATACATTATGCAATCAATTAAGTTATAGATGATGCAGAAATTAACTTCAACGAGGCGCCCATGCCTGTTATTGTTAAAGCCCGATAGGTGTATTTACATCATCTGCTGCGTTTATTTGACAATATAGTACACCATTCGCTTGGATTGTGTTTTTCACAGATACATCGTCCAAATTTCACTTCACTTTTAAGAGTTTCAATAAGAAGCGGTTTGGTTTTGATCGATGCTTCAAGTGTGACTCCAAGATCCCAAGAACATCAAGGTTCTAATCGGGTCGTCTGCACGGGCGCGGTGGTTACATCCCCTTCTCTCATTTTGATTACGCATAAGAAGCCTTGGCTGCTTCAGAGAGTCGGCGGTGACGGCCACCACGGCGGCCTCGAAGACTTGTCGGAGCCTGTCGCCAATAGACTTGGTGGAGTCGTTGGGACGAGAAGCTTCGCCGGAGACAGGATGAGGTTTCATCCTAGCCATGGTGAGAGACTGCGATTATGAGGCCGGGATATTAGAAATGAAGATCAGAACCGTTGGGTCTATATATAGCCAAATATCGTGAGATGCCGCTAAGGTGACAATCCCTCGGTGCTTAGTTGGTGGGGCCAGATTCCTTATGAATTTGGATTACAGATCATCTCCACTCTCGGCGTCATTATTAATAGCGACCTTGGCCCCGTCCTGTTTCCTATCACCATCAAAATTATTTATAAATATATTTTATATAAATTAAGATAAAATTTTTTAACATACTTATCTCATATTTTATAAATAATGATTAGAAAATTACTTTAAAAGTATTCTATATGGGTTCATTATATATTTTTTATTTCTATTTATAAGTCACTTTTAATATAAAAAATCTTAAATTTTATTTTAAATTCAACATTTTTTTAATTTTATTACTATTTAATATACATTATACCTAATGTAAATAAAGTTAAGACAATAATAAATAAAGACTAAAATTGTATATTCATATAAAAAATTTCTTTCAATGCCATATAAAGAGGATCAAAAAATATTTTCTTTCTCTACTATATAAATAGGATTTATAGGACCAGAGGAGTATCTTTTATTAAAACTTTTTCAATTTTATTTTTGCCAACAAAACTTTTTTAATTCTGGATTTATACATTTTTCACAATAAATACGGGTTTCTCCTTTGCATGTTACTGTTTTTCCTTTAAAGAAAATTACTCCTCCGGTCCTAATTATAAGACCCAATTGACTTATTTGAGGAGATTAAGGAAGTAAGTTAAGTTGATTATTTATAATAAATAAGTGTTGTTATTCCTAAAATATCCTTGCTAATTAAGTATATTGGCTAAAACTATCATTATTAGAAGGATTATCTTTGAAAAAAATGCATAAATATAAGAGATAAAATGGGTTGGGTCTTATAATTAGGACCAAATAAAAAGTCAAATTGGGTCTTATAATAAGGATCGGAGTAGTACAATAGTTTTAGGACAAATTCCTTTTTGTCCTTTTGCCAACATCAACAAAAGAAAGAAAGATTTACTTTATTAGATTCTTTCACTGTCTCTTTCACTCACTTTACTAAATTCCATTCCGCGTAATGACAGTATAAAAACTAAAAATTTACAGCCAAGATCAGCATAAATTCTCTGGATAATCTTTTTTTTTTTTTAAAAAAAAAAGAACTAGATAAGTCATCCAATGCCATAAAACCACTTATCGGCCAGGCGCAACGCTGAAAGTCTCCCAACGGCCTATTCTTGTTTGATGATAAGACCAATCAAGAAAGAATCTCCCAAGAGCTTATTGCTTCGCGGCCCTCTTCAAAAGAAAGAGAATATAGAATAAAGAGGAAAATCAAGTAATTATCAAAATTCAAAATATAAAAAAGAAAATATATGCAGAAAAGTTGAGTATGGAATACGTTAGATTAGATATATGCGTCCCTTGGCAATTTAAAAAAAAAAAAAAAAGACAAACCCGTCCCAATCAGCCAATCCTCGTCGTGTCGTTATGATTCTGCCTCACGTGTTCTCTTTGTTTATCTAAAATAATTAACTCTACTTCCTCTTCTTCGTCTTCTTGGGGATAGAATGGTAACTTTCCTCACACCAAGAGGGCAGATCCTACGGCAGGAAACCGAAACTCAAAACTCTTGGGCCAACACCCAACAAAGAACGAAGTTTACGCAATGGTTCGGACTCTGCAACCGATCTCATGACGTGGCCCATTTATCCCACGGCCCAAGGTTGTAGTGATGCAAGGAAATGAAACAGTCCCTGACAATTAACGGGACTGGACCTAACAAAAATGATTAATTTTTTTATCAGATATTTAAATACGTATTAAAAAAAGTACTCATATTTACTGTCTGACCTGATAGGAGGATATCTGCCTGGTGAAAAAAAAAAGGAAAAGAAAGGCATCATAACCCAACATGGGTTTACGAAAAACCTAACAAATAGCAAATGAACTTAACATAGGAGGATATCAAGCATAGAGCAAGCTTCATTGGCAAGGGGAACCTGTGTCGCTTCCTTCCATTTCATGTTTGATTCTCTTTGGGTCCTTTTCCTTTTAGGAAATGAACTTAACTACGCATAGCGTACCTATTCGCTTTGTTTTTCTTGTGTTTTTCAAAGGATGGCACCTTATCATCTTCTCCATGGATCCATTCATTTACATTCTTAAATCGTTCCACTCCGACCTACTACTGCTGTAGTCCCTGCAGATGAAACTCCAGATGCTTCTTAAGTCGACCGTTTTTAAGACATGATCTTCTCAGCACACAGCAGATAGGAACCCGGTAATTCTTGCGGCACCATTTTCGCATCTACAGTGCACATAGAAGACAACTTTTAAACGCCATGTTTGCTTTTTATTAAAAGGGATTTGTGCATGTACGATATTCTTAACATTATATTATATTATTGACGAGAACTTGATAAGAACATGGCTTTCTATTAATGACACAATAAGTTTTAATTTTTACAGCATATCCATTATTTTCAATTAAATTATACGTTCTATACATTTTGATGGGGAAAAAAAAATCAAATAGCATTTATCATGTTCCAAGTATAAATCAAAATTGCATTGAACATTAAGGGTTTGTTTGGTTTCTTGTTTTGAAAACAATTTTTGTTTTTAAAAACAGAAAGATAAAAAAACTTGTTTAATAATTTGTTTTTAGTTGATTGTTTTAAAAAAAACAAAAAACAGTAACATATTTTTAAAAATAAAAAATCAAAACAACTTTTATATATTTTCCTGTTTTTGTTTGTGTTTTGAAAAATTTTAAGAAATTTTCTTCTCTTCTTATTTACGATCCACCACTTATTATTACCAGCAACAACTGTTACCTACCAAGTGTGATTTTAGAATTACTCCTCCGGTCCTTATTATAAGACCTAATTTGACTTTTTATTTGGTCCTAATTATAAGACCCAATCTATTTTGTCTCTTATATTTATGCATTTTTTTCCAAGATAATCCTTCTAATAATGATAGTTTTAGCCAATATACTTAATTAGCAAGGATATTTTAGAAATGACAACACTTATTTATTATAAATAACCAACTTAACTTACTTCCTTAATCTCCTCAAATAAGTCAATTGGGTCTTATAATTAGGATCGGAGGAGTATTATACAAGTAAATTCTTTTGTTTTCTGTTTTCAAAACTTGTTTCAAGAAACAATTTTATAAAATTGTTTTAAGAACAGGATAATAAAGAACAAAAACAAACGAGCTCTAAGTTTTTTTCTTTTGTTTTTTCCACTAGTTTCGTTTGCTGTTTATTTATTGGAGCTTCCAGGAATTTTTGAAGGTGAGTAGGAAAGACAGCGGAGGTTACCGGGGAAGCAAATTGTCAAACATTTGCACTCTTTTAACTCTCAGGTATAGTTTGTTTCGCAATATTAAATATAAGAGACAGGGATTGATATTAAAAAAATCTATTAAAAAAGTGTTTAACACAATAAACTGCTTGTTACATAATATTAGACAAACTCATATATGTAGTATTGGAAAATATAGTCCCTTCTTATAATATTCTCTAATCCCACTTTCACGAGTTTATCTAATCTCATGTAATAAACCTTAAATTAAAAACCTCACACCGATTGGCTACTAGCATGCATGAAATGCTAATTAAAATGGCACGACAGAGGAAAAGAAAAGGCATAAACTTTGGTGCAAGGAATCTACTTTTTAGATAAGGCTGAAAGGAAAAGGTAGATTTAAGGTCCTACACCGCCCGTAGCAGATCAGTAGGGAGCTATTGGCCTTTCTTAAGCAAAACCCCAAAGAGATGCACTACTTTTTTTTTTTTTTTTTTTTTAATAAAAGGACAAGACACTAAAGATCCTCCATACTTGCCTCCATCAGCTACCCCTGCTCATTTTTGTTCCCAACTTTTTACATTAACAAATCTCTTTTCTTTCGTTTTTTTCCCCAGCGGATATTATGAAACTTAAACACCCCCCCCCACAGTACCCCTCAGCACTCATATCCGCCACTTGGTTGTTCATGACTTCACATAACAGAGCATCCACCTTCATATTCATGGTCGTCATCACAGCGCTTGATCCAACCAGGAGGCGGCGGCGGCTGCTGTAGGTGAGAGTATGTAGCATAAGCATGCATGGGAGGGGCATAATACTGAGCACTAGAAGTGGGGTATGCTGTGTTATAGCTTAAACCGTATACTTGTGGTATTGCAGGAGAATAGTACACTGGTGGTGTTGGGTACGACGGATAGGCATGCTGAATCGGAGGACCAAGATCCATGGCAGCCATAGAAGCAACCAAGTTGGGGGTGTTTCCGACTGATTTACTTGGCGGTGGTGGTGTGGCTAAAGCATCAATCATATTTTCTCGACCGCCTCCGTTATTGTTGGGAGAATCTCCCTTGCTTTGGCCCTTTTTCTTGTTCTTTCTTCTTTTTCTTTTTAGCACCGCCGCCACTGCCCTTGTCGCCACCTGCATCTGCTCCGCCGGCATCCTCACATTCACTGTCTTCTTTGTAAGACTCTGTATCTTCATCATCAGCCAAACCATTTTGATCAATGTCATCGCCAAGCGGTTCATTATTCTTTTGGTCTTTCTTTTGCTTATCACTTCCCTTGGATTTCGACTTGTTATCTTTCTTCTGGGTCTTCTCTGAAGGACATAGCTCTGCTAGTTTGCCTGATCTTACCAGCTTCTTGATTAAAATGTTAGCGTCCACGTTACCAGTCACCGTAACCTTGTGTTGTTGAGAATCAACCTCAGTGATATAAACCCCTATAATCAACGAATGGCGATCAATGATTCAATGTCATAATTAAGACTGCAAGCAAAGAGAACTAATAATCATGAACACACGGTAAGATTATTCTTATAAATATTGCCGCACTACCATCAATTCCCTGAAGAACTTTTTTGACTTTCTTCTTGCAGCCTTCACAGTGGATTAAAACTTTCAACACCCACGTCTGCATGATAGAGTAATTATACAAGGGAAGTTGGAGGAAATTAGTGAACACTGACCAAGGAGATGAACGTGAAAGAAAAGAGGATTTGAGAGAGGAAGGCTGTGGTGTTGATTATACCTGGTATTTCAAAGCTTCTACTGGAGGATCTTCTTCAACTGTCTTGGCTGCCATATGGAGAGTTAGTTGGAGGGAGTGTAATGTAAGGGATGAGAAGTTTGGCGTTCAGCGAAAGGTTTAAAGAGAAGAGAGGCCAATGCAGTAGAGCCCCATCTCTTCCGTACCAGAGTCCAGAGAGAGAGAGTATAAAGATGCTTTGAGAGGGAAGGAAAAATAAGGAGAAAGCAGCACGAGTTAAAAGGTCCAAGAAAAGCATGAGAATGTGGTATCGCACCACACCACCTTAAATTCCTTCTAATTAACTAACCAATAGGCTTATGAATATGACACATCAGCAACGTCACGTGAGCACTGATAGAATATGTAATGTGGGGCTGGGATTGGTGAGCTTCTAGCATATGCACCCGCATGAGTTTCTGATAGACCCTTCTGGAATACTCACCAAGGAAATAAAATCAAGCTTTCAGTCGAGTGTTTGATTTTCACGTCTTTAGTTGCGTAGGATGTAAAAAACAGGTGAGGAGTTCAAGAGGTTCTTCGTATCCACTTCGACGGCCTCCTTTGCATCTAATTTTGTCATTATCAGAGGGTTTTAAGGGCTTCATCAATTTTGGTACAAGCTCATTTTTCACCTTCCAGCCTCTCGCATCGGGTCCTTCTCCATGGCCCCACAATCCTCCTACCAGTCCATCACTCACCAAGTGCTGCTTAGAGGCTAAGTTGGTATGAGGGAAATCAAAAGGAGGAGAAGGAAAATTTTAATGAATTCTATTTAAAAAATTGGAGAAGTGGGGTTTCAAAATTTTAATAAAGAAAAAAAATAATATAAAAGAGTAATAAAAATTAATTAAAAGCTCTTAACCCCATTTTTCTAATTTTTTAAATTGAGCTTTTTGATATTTTTCCTCCCCTCCCCTCTTCTCATTTTCTATCATACCAAACGGACCCTAATAGTTTCATGCTCATCCAATCAAAATATAAACCGGCATGATCAATATTAAGCTTCAAATAACACGGGTTAAGACCCATGGTTATGAGTTTAGTGAAAAGAGTAATGAGCCCGAAGGGTGGGGTCAAAAATAACAATTCAGGATGTTTGTCATTTGACCAAGCCCACGCGACAAATGAATGAGTTGGGCAAGAAAATTACATAAAGCATCAGCTGAAATGTACTCCTACTTAAATTCTAAAACAACTGCCTGTTATTTAGGCTAGAATCTGCTATCTGATACATCTAGGATTAGACCAATGGTTTTGAGATTTTTACATGCATATAGCTGCTAAAAGTAACTCCGAATCTGGCATCGCTCAGATTTCATATTTGTAAATAAAATATTATGCAGACGAACTTTAAAGAGTTAGGCATAAAGTTAAGCCAAAATGTGTATACTACAAACGTCCAAGCTTCAAACCACTAAAAAGGCCAATCATAAAATGTAATACGGCTTCTCCATGTCATGCCCATTTTTAACCATCCCATGGTACTTGCTTGGTGATGGGCTGATGGCCTGGGTTGATCGTACAAAAGCATCTGAATCCTGAACTTACAACACCCGCAGCAATGAAAGAGCAGCCTTATGTAACCGAAGTTGATCACTTTAAAATCCTATTCTGTTCATCGCCCTTGCAACCGCCCATGCCCATTTTCAGAAGCCAAATGCATCATTGACATCACAGGCTCAAGAAAAAGTGAGGAGAAAGCCAACCCTGGGTACGATGCAAACTTCCCTATTCAATTATGGATTATGATACTGATGAAAGTAGCCATTTTTCTTCCATAGTGAGTTCAATCTGTTTTCAAACGTTAAGGCTCAAGAAAAAAATTAGCTGGGGTTGGAGTATTCACACATGACTCAAGGGTTGAAGTATACATGAACATATATTCCCTGACTGGAAGCATTGTTTTCTAGCTCAACTTATATCAGCTAGTTCTCGAGTGAATTGGAAAACCATGGGATGATTCAAGCCGCTGTTGAATCCAATCCAACTCATAAGATCGATTCATTCCTGAGAAAGTTTCATATTAGATAACAAATAAATTCACAGATATAAGCAGAGTTTAATGAAACAGCATACGAATGCATCAAACACTGACGTTTTCTGATATCCAAGCACCTACTGCATATTAGATTCGCTTTTAACCCCAATTGGAACTCAACATGGATTAACTTGACGGTTTCCAAGAGCGAATTTAAATTTGCCAATTGGGTTTACCTTAAAAGTAGGGAAAAAGTATGCCTATTGCCAACTGGAACAACGAAAGAGAAGTTCACTAGAGATAAGGTTGAGGGTAAAGTATATATTTTAAAGGCAATGAATGAGCAATAAAGAAATATCTCTCGTGGCATTGCAATTGGTAAAATGCCCCTAAATGCAAACGAAACCCTAACCAGAAGCAAACGAGCTTATGCATGTCAGTGGTGGACCCTTTTTTCCCTTTTTTTTTTTTTTTTTGAAAAAAGACATAATTCAGCACCCTAAAGTGTGCATGCAAAAGTTTATACAGTTGAATATCTCAAGCTCTAAAGGAAAGAGAGAAAAAGGAATTTAATCTAAAGTGTAGCAGCTGTAGTAGGCTGTCTTCAAACCAGTAAAATAGACATAATTCGGCACAACCACATCCATATCAATACGGTACAGCATAATAATGGACACTCAGTCATCGCCAACTATATGCAGGCTGATTACATTTTTGGCTTCTTTAGAGAAGTGCCTTCTGACATTGATTCCTCTCTTCTGGGTCATCCTCATCTAATTTCAGAACTAGCCAATAATCAATCAATGCGCAGAAGGGCAGAAATTTTAAAGCTAAAATAATAATGTGACCTCTAATCTCATTGCTGGCTAAGTAGACCACAGAGGTCGAAATTAAAACATTTCAAACGGCCAAAGAAGAGCAAAAGAAATCCTGGCATGAGCTATTCAAAACCTTCACATTTCACAGCTTCTAAAAAAAAATCACATTTTTCATTGTTTGGACTTGCATTGAACTTGTTTAATCTAGGATCTGACCAAACCAGAGCATCTCAAATTTCAAGCATGTTTCTCCACAAGGTCCTAATCAAGGGTGTAAAACCTCTATAAAATATACAATTACAATAACTTATACTATTCACAAAACTGCCTACAGTGTGGCCCATTCTTCAAATTTCATGCAATTAACAAAAAAAGGGTTTAATTATAAATTGATAACTTGATAAAGAAAACGAATGACAGAGGCAATTCGAACACACTGACAGTTTGTGTTACTTCAAAGTCAAACTGATGCACAATATGTCTACAGAATGAAAAGGCCAACACATCCCAATTTCCATAATTCGTGTCACCACAGAAAGGATCGTGCCGTGGCTCTACTTGTTGAAACAACCAACGTACGCATAGACTTGAAAACTTACCATTTCACATCCCTTTTAAAAAGTATTTACCCTAATTTTCTGAGCATATTTTTGCAAATAAAAAGAGCGAAGCAAGCCTCCCCCAAAGGCATAATATCTCCACCGTGTAATTTGATTAAGCATTTCACAATTACTATCAATTTTAATCAATTTCACATAGTAACTTGATATTTCAGTATTTGTCGGAGAATTCAGAAGATTGATATGAAACAACATTTATGTAGTCATATGAAATACACCCCAAAGTAAATCAAGCGGCTACAAATCATCAATGTTAAATGCCTTTCTGCACAAAAGAACACCTGAGGTGACCAAAGCAAGAGCCGTCAATGCTCCCTGCCTAGAAAGCCAGAACTCAGTCCATGTCAAGGGTTTTGAGACCTCAAATAGGACCTTCTGAAACTTTTCATTCAAGTCATCCAATGAACCAGTGTTATCTATTACTATGTCTGCTTTAGTCCTTTTTACGTCCAGTGACATTTGAGAGCTCATCCTGTTCCTTGCATCCTCCTCACTTGTCCCGTCTCTCGCCATGAGTCGTTGAATCTGCGTTTCTGGATCAACCCAAACAACAATAGTGGGCTTTGTCAACTTGTCCATCTTGGCCTCAAATAACAGAGGGACATCAAGAACAATAATCTCATGACCCTTCATCCAAAGCTTCACTATTTCCCAAAAGATTCCAGAGGATATATAAGGAGCCAGCAATCTAGAAAAGATCACAATTGAAACTCAAAATCCGGTCCCAATACATCTTGAGACACAAAATAATTCCAAAGATTTCTCACAAAAATCAAGGGAAGACATGTACTAACCTAGCAATTAAGATATAAATTGAACTTTGGACTAGGGCCAATAATTGATAACAAAATATAATGTAACTTACGACATATGCAGCAGTTTGTTATATTGAAGTTACTAGCTACTAATGCTTAATTAACGTCCATTGCCCATAAAAGTTCTCACTTAAATATAATAATTCAATCTCACGTTGCACTCGAAATATATATGCATCTTTTCCACGCAAGAAATCATAGAAATGTGAGGCCACCAATCAGCCATGAAAATGCGAAAATCAGAAGTTTCACGTCAAATACAAAAACTGCACCAAAAAGGCAACATTACCTGTTAAGAAGTTGGCGCTTATCTGGATCAGAAAAAACAATTTGTCCAAGTCTTGGCCTATTAACTTCTCCATTCTCAAGTAAAATTTCCTGTCCGAAAGCTGCAACAACTTTTTTCCACCCACCAGTGCCTTTATTTAATGCAGCCTACAAGTAACCACGAACAAACCCGCTCAATTTTTTTTTAAAAAAAAAAACTCCCGATACAATCATCTCCCTTCAACTCAAAATCATTCATACAGTTCAAAGAAAAGAAAAGTCAGAATCATTAAAACCTGACTTCTTTTCAATGCAAAGGGCAACAAAACTTTAGTTTCAAGATCCATCTAAGACTTTGAAACGTCAATGAACAAAGAACTAAAAACATACACGGGCAACGACGTCGGCATCTACAACCGGAATGCCATTAGATTTGAATAGATTAGACACAGTGCTCTTCCCTGAAGATATTCCACCGGTAAGTCCAACAATTCTCATTGTCACTCGTCGAGGAGTCCCCAAATACTGAAAACCGGACCAGTCATTGAGCCGGTCAAAAAAGTGAGTCAAGAGTAAATGGTTTCCACTCGTGCCAATGATTAAAAAATATAATTTAATTAGAAACAGCACACTGCGAAGTTTTGATACAAACCAGAATTAATAAAAACAGCACAAGTTCACCAGGAAAAAAAAAAACAGCACAAATGCACAAGTCATTTGATACAAAGCAGAATGGAAGAAAAAGCCAAATTACCAGAATATATTAGCTGAGGAGACGAGGTCAAGAGCACCAGCGAAGCTTTAAGAAAAGGCCGAAGCGCTTAGAGGGGCAGACGAGTTCGGATCAGAATTTGGGGCCTAGGGAATTAAGGCAGAAGAGAGGGCTAAAGGGGAGGATCTGTTATTACTACAAACTTTTTAAATACCATGTCAAGTTCCTTCCGACAAGCGCATCTGGTGTAGTGGTATCATAGTACCCTCCCACGGTACTGACCGGGGTTCGATTCCCCGGATGCGCATTTGTAGCTTTTTTCTGTGGCGCTGCTAAAAATACTTCTCTCTTCCTCTTTCATCCTGACGTCCTGTGGGAGGAGGAGAGGGGCTTCTTTTTCTGGCAAATCTTCCTCTACATAATCGAGGCCATCTCGTTCGACCTTCGGAGATTAGTTGCGTATAACGATGGGACAGGTTTCCGAGGTCAGGGCTTTCACAAATAGAATTTTTGCCCTGCTAAACACCTGTGCTTCTCGAACTCAACTCCACCAGATTCAAACCCAACTGATCATCCATAATCTCCATTCCGACAGCACCATTGCTTCCCAATTCATCACTGCATGCCAATCCGTGGGTCTTCTCAACTCCGCTTTTCTGCTGCTCACCTTTCTTCCAAGAGCAAATACTTTCGTTTGCAATTCTCTCATCCGGGCCTTCGCTCACTCTCACATTCCTCATACCCCTCTCGCCATATACTTTCAGATGCATAAAAATTCTGTTCGCCCTAATAACTACACCTTCCCTTTCCTTTTCAAATCTTTATCCGACTTCCGTGAGTTTAAACAAGTTCAATGCATCTACACTCACGTCTTAAAACTGGGTCATCTCAACGATATTTATGTTCAAAACTCACTTCTCGATGTTTATGCATCTTGTGGCCGTATGGACTTGTGCCGACAGCTGTTTGATGAAATGCTTCAAAGGGATGTTGTGTCATGGACAGTGTTAATTATGGGTTATCGAAATGCTGGGAAGTACGATGATGCGTTGATTGTCTTCGAACAGATGCAATATGCGGGTGTAATGCCTAACAGAGTGACGATGGTAAATACCTTGGCTGCTTGTGCAAAATTTGGTGCAATTGAAATGGGTGTCTGGATACATAATATCCTAAAGAAAAATGGGTGGGAACTCGACGTTGTACTGGGGACCGCGTTAATTGAGATGTATGCGAAATGCGGGAGAGCTGACGAAGGGCTGGAAGTTTTCAGCCTGATGAAGGAAAAAAATGTATTTACTTGGAATGCACTTATTAAAGGACTAGCTTCAGCTAAAAGTGGCGAAGAAGCAATCTGGTGGTTTCAAAGAATGGAGGAGGAAGGAGTAAGAGCAGATGAAGTGACTTTGGTCACAGTCCTTTCGGCTTGTAGCCACTCAGGCCTGGTAGAGATAGGACAACAGATTTTCAGTTATTTGATTAATGGGAAGTATGGATTTTCGCCTGATGTCAAGCACTATGCATGTATGGTCGACCTCTTAGCACGTTCAGGGCGCGTAGAAGAGGCTTTTGAATTCGCAAGACATATGCCTTTTGAGCCTACGAAAGCTATGTGGGGATCCTTATTCGCCAGTTCCAAATCTCAGGGGGAATTAGAGCTCAGCGAGTTTGCAGCCAGAAAACTCGTAGATTTGGAGCCACATAATTCTGCTTATTATATTCATCTGTCAAATCTGTATGCAGAGATGGGAAGATGGTGGGATGCGGAAAAAGTAAGGGAAATGATGAAAGAAAGACGGTTAACCAAGGACCTGGGGTTTAGTTCTGTGCAGACTGAACCAAAAGAGCACGCCAATTTTTAGTGCTGTATTTCTCAAAGCATTTAGATAAATGCTAACTTGGATGGAATACTTACAGTCCGATGAAACAAGTGAGGACATGTATAGAGACTGAAAGACGGAGTTAGCCGGCCCTTTTTGTTGAGCTATGGTGTTTTAAGCTGTATATATTTCTTGATTCTTGATGATTAGATTTTGAAGTTAACATAATTTGGCATTCACTCCAGAGACTTCATTTTCTACTGAAGTCAATCGCAAAAATTGAATGCAAAATGGAAGATGGTTCCCAGGGACAGAGTAAAATAATTTTATAACTTATTCGAGTAACATCAAGCGGAACAGGGATTCGAAACCTAGACCTCCAATGGACTGCGCTAATCTTTCTGTGGTAAGATTAATCAAAGTGGCTTTATTCTGTTCATCTCTAAACCTTCAGAGCATACCCATACTGAAATGGCTTTACCTTGATTTCCATAGCAAGGACCTTTGACCAAGCTGGTCTTTGCAGTGATATCAGCTACCCAGGCAGTAACATGGGGCCGTGATCAAACAGATTCCTAGTCTGTGAGTTCATCAAGTATTGAATGGTGGGGAGGTGATGCAGATCCACCAAGGTAAAGCACTAAAGCAGTCCCCTGCCAAGCACTTGGACTCAGATATTCTCTTGCCGTATATATCAAGAACGCATATAATTAATCAACTATGCACACACTCGAGATTGATATTTTGATTTGATTAATGAGGCTTATATTTATGTGAGCAAGCGTCTTCCTCTGATTGTGACAGTTTACTTGCGGTGAGCGGACTTGTATACTTTCAACCCAAGTAACCCAACCCGTCATGCTTTCTCTGCATTGCATTGAAGGGCAAGCTCGAGGAGAATATCGTTAAACGTTAGTAATATTTTTTATATTATTTTTCTTTAACTCCATTCAATTTTCTCTATCTTATTTTTCACACATCCCATTCTTTTCTTTTCTTTTTTTTGGTTGCCAACCACACATGCCATTTATTACCCTTATTTTTCAATCCTTCTCTTAATTTTTAAATTTTCTTTAATCTAGATGTTTGTAAACACGATCATGTGGGCCAAGGATATTGTATACGTATAATGTATTATATCATAGATGTTTCAACGGAAACAACATGGTTGACACCGCAGAAATATGTACTGGCCAACATTACTTACACTTAAGCCTACATTCAGGTTAGAACGCAGTACCTTAGTAGAGTTAGACATTTTACATTATTAAGTAGAGACACACTAACTAAAGGCTGAAACGCAACCATTGAAATGTCATCACAGGCTTGAGGCTTGTATCTCATATCGTCTCAAAACCTGTTTCTGGCTCTAAAAAGTTGTGACATTCCAGCTGAGTCATTTCTCCACCGCGCACCGGGTCAAATCGACATCTGTAGAAGCTGCATAGCACAGTCCACTGGGGATCATTAATATCAAAACATAAAAGCTGCTTATAATTTTAAAATAACGAAAGCAAAACGCGATTTGATGATTAAAAAAGGGTTTTCTCTGAAAAGTAGCTTGAGGCTCAACGCAATACTTATTGCAGTGACAAAAATGATACGACAAAGAACAAGTGCTTTCATCTACATTCTCAACTAAACTAATGCAGATATGATATAGGGTGAATGGGGTGGCGCCTTTCTTCAAATATCAGCTCAGCAATACTCAAAAGCGACCAATTTTTCAGACGTAGAAGAAAAATAGAACCATTCATCAATGGGAACCTTAGTATCTAAGGAAAATAGAGCAGATATAGCCACAGCCTACGGAAGACTGCATTCTGTTGAGGAAGTTACTTTTACCTTCCATCCATGCCAAGAATTATGACCGTATTCTTTTGATGACCAAATACAACCAAGTAACGACAGCCCTCATGCAAGTGAAACTGAGCAACCGAACGCTCTGAATTGAAATACTTAGGCAATACTCCTGCAAGTGCAAAGCAAAACAAGCTTAAAATGAACACGAGTAATCAACTAACGCTTCTCCATTTGAGAAAATTAAAACCTAGAACTCCAAACAATTAAAAACATGGAAAACAATAACAAGGTGAAATAAATATGGAATGGAAGAGAACCGGGTGATATTGGTGGCTGTCAACGATTATTTCCAACACATCTTACGCTCTTAACATTCAACTCCTTCACAATTCACAGGTTGAGAAATAGAACGGTCCCGGCAAATGGGGGACAATAGTCAAAATACCAAGGTTAAAATTTAACAATTTTAGTTAGTACGTGTTCATACAACCTAACAGGATATCAAGTGAGAATAACAATAGATGTTTTACCTTTTAAGTTCTTGAACGAGAGAGATGACCTAGATGGCGTAACGGCAGCATTAGAATTGGATGTGCTCTGTGACTTTTCATGCTGGGGCCCACTAGAATTAACCTTGAGGCTGAAAACATGGACAGTGCCCTTGTCACTCGAAACTCCTAGCCACTCAGCAGTAGAAGAGAATGCCAGACTATATATCTCCGCCGCATTTGCACCCCTTCTTACCTATATTGTTGATTCCATGAACGCATTTATTAGCATGAAAAGCTATCAAGTTTAAATAGACAGATATTTTTTTCTTCACGGCTTCCTTAATAGACGAATTCAAGCTTCCAAAGGAGACAAACAGTTTATTCACAACTCGGACAAACAGCATACGCTAAAGAATCGCGTAAGAGCTAAAGAGCATGTATCATCAAATAGTATGCCTAATCCAGCCACTTGTCTACCATAGGAAGACGTATCTCCTCAAATAACTGACGATAGATTTCCTCTACGGATTTTTTAAAAACACCAAGGAACAAAAAACCGGACCGGACACTAAACCGGTTGAGGTAGTGGTTCAAGGGTCAATGGGTCAGATCGGGGTCAAACCGGGATCAAACCGGTCACATTAAAATGATAAAATTTAATTAAAAATAACAAAGTATAACAATATTAATAATCACTAATAACAAAATGTAAGGAAATACAACAATAATTTGATTGTAATTAAAACAAAATACAATAACATTAAGGATTTTGATCTTTATGATTTCTTAATAACTAAAATTAATAATTATTAATACCAAAATTATTATTAAAATTCATTTAAATATATAGTGATTGAAATATTAGGAGTTGAATAAGAAAAAATAAGAAAAATAGCAAAATATCATTCAAACCGGTTCATTACCGGTTTATACCGGTTTTTGCCGGTTTGCACCGGTTTATCCCGGTTTGACCAGGTTGATGCCGGTTCATTTTATGACCGGTTCATTGCTTTAACCGGACCGGACCACTGGCCGGTTCACCGGTTCACCGGTTGAACCGGCCGGTTCGGTCCGGTTTTTTTTTCACTGAAAAACACGCAGAATTATCACAACCCACCCTATACTATAATGCCGTGAGCATATGAAAAGCATTAATCGTCAAAAACCAGAAAACTCACATACTTCTCGAAGCACCGTGCCATTAGCTGTCCCAAAGATCCTAATTAGTGTCCCCTTGGTGCTTGCGGTAGCTAGTAACTGCCCATCCAGTGTGAGAGTAAAACAAGCTATTCCAGAATCATGTGCCGAAATAAATTTGGATTTCTGCTGCGCATAATGCTCTACTCGAATCTGGCCCTTATGCAAAGCAGGGCAGGCCAGCACCAGAGAATCGGCTAATTGCGAAACTTCGCAGAGCCCTTTCGGGTTCGCAACCGTCTCAATCTGATGCAGCAACTTGAGGTCCGCGAAATTGTACACAAATATCTTCTGTTCCATCACTACAATTATTCTGTCTCGTCGAAGCCGGACTCCCCGAACAGGAGCCCGGAACGACAACTCGCCAATGCACCTGCCTTCATGGTCGTCCCAGATCATCACCTTATTAGGAGGGTATTGGGGGTGAGGACCACCTCCGATGAGTGCCAGTATATTACACCGAAAAAGCATCTCCACGTGGCCAATCCCACCGGCGATGCCACCCCCACCATCGAACTCTCTGCGAAAGTGCTCTCGGAAAGGGTCGCAATCGTAGATACGAAAACCGTTATCCGCGGCGGCGGCGAAACAGGCTCTGTCCTGGTTGAAGGAGAGTTGAAGCAGCGTAGGAGGGGTGGTCATCGCAGGGGAATCGGGCGAAGCATCATTAAACTTGTGATGAGAGATGGAGTGATTGTGACTGTGAGGCGGGGTTGATTGGCGAACCATGAAGGAATCCAAGTCTGGCGTCTGAGATTGATCAGCGTGAAAACTAGGAATTGAATTGGAATCGACATTAGGGCTCGGCCATGGGGGAGAAGAGGAAGTTGAGAGAGTGGCCATGGATCACGGAGTATCGAAAGAGCTGATAGCCCCTTCTTCTCACTGTATCCCTCTTCCGACCCCGACAACCAGTCCCAGTGAACAAGTTCCTTTCATTCGGGAAGGCGTAAAACCAGTAGATGCGGAAACGAGAACATGATTCCCAGAATTTTCTGCAAATTGACGATTTTCTCCTTTTCCTGATGTTGGTGATGCGTGATCGCGTCATCACTTACCCGGTGCGGCCCGACTTGCTTGCTCTCAGATATTTTTCATCGGCATCGTCAAAATCATTTTAATTTAAAAAATTTTAATTAAATTTGCTGGGCGACAGTAAACTCGCTCTTCTTCATCAAATCATTTTAATCGTATACATGCTCGCATGTGATCCTTTTCTTGTCGCCGCATTGCTGCATGCCAATGGAAGGAAGCCAGGTTTCACAGAAACAGAATTCTCACGCAACGTCACACACACACACACACTCACGCACACGCACAGATAGGACCTTGATGCTTTGCCATTGGCATAATTCCATACACGTATTAGCATACAATCCTTTTCTTGCTGCAGCAGAGTCCCCGGGATGCCATGAACACAAAATTAAAAAACAGAGACCGCCCGCGCAAGGTGGAATCTTTGAGCGGCTATAAAGCCAAAAGAGTCCTTCGGACAACGACGATCACAAGTCACCCCGCCGTTAATCTCCCTTTTCCAAGCATGAGTTCCTGTGCCCTCATTCCATTATCAGTCAGACCCATGGAAGGTGTGTTAGCAGTCAAGAACCTTGTGCCTTTCATTTTCTTTTTGCTAATTCCCTTCGCATTTTTCTGTCTGTCTTTATGTTCGGTACATTTGAACATTCAAACGAACTGATTAGCGGTGTTTTTTTCCCTGTGGACGATGATATATCTTAGGAAGAAAAGTTCCGCCTTGCCACTACTTATTCAAAATCGAGTCCTTCTCGTTTCTTTCAAAGGCTTCAGTCGAAAATTACACCTCGGAAGAGTTCGAGGCAGGGGGCTACAAATGGCATGTGTTATCCTGCTGTTTTGCGTTCAAATTATATGATTTTTTTACGTGTTTTTTAATCGTTAACTCATCATTGTAGGACTCTATCCGTATACCCGACTGGCAACAAAATAAAAGACGGGCAAGGTCATATCTCAGTATACTTGAACTTGATGGTTTCAAGCTCAAGCTCATTTCCGGATGGTTGGGAGGTCAATGCCATTGTTAATTTGTTTGTATACGATTTTCTTCGTGACGAGTATTTTTCTTATCAAGGTACTTCTAAAACTTCAACATTCCATTTAGCCGGGCGTTTTATAGTGCATTTTATGCGTTATTGACTCGGTCACTGAAATGCAGACGCAAGCACGAGGCATTTTCATAAGCTGCAAACTGAATGTGGCATCTCAAAATTCGTCGACATCGTCTCGTTCAATGACCCTTCAAATGGATATCTGGTTGAAGATGCCTGCGTTTTTGGAGCCGAAGTCTTTGTCGTCAAGCCTCCTGAAGAAGAATGCTTGTCAATGATAGATGAACCCCCTCCTCTTTCTTATAGGTGGAAATTCGACAATTTCTCTAGAGTTAGTTTAGAAAAGTACGAGTCCGAACTGTTCCTTGCTGGAAACTACAGATGGTATGAAACAATGCTTCCTAACTTCCCAGCCACCACCTGCGGAGTGTTGTGTTTTAAACGCCTAAAAAAAAAACGTATTCTGGTTTTGTTGATGCAGGAGACTCGCTTTCTACCCCAATGGGACAGGTGAGGGCAAAGGTAATAGTGTCTCGCTGTTCCTGACCGTAGACCCTTCGTCAATCCCACCTAACACTAAATTATATGTGCACTGCATTTTGCGTGCCAAGGACCAAATCAAGGGACAGCATGCAGAAACAAAATGTGAGGCTCAGAACTAAATTTGTTTTGAATTGGAAATTCGAAATTTCAACTGAACACATTTAATCGGCCAAAAACTGAACACATTTAAAGTTCTCACGATTCGTTCGTTTGTTCCCCTGTTTTTCAGTCTATAGGCACTTCTCCAGCTCGAGTCCCACATGGGGATCAAGAATGTTCGTGCCATTGGCCAAGTTCAAGGACCCAACTAAGGGCTTTTTGGAAGGAAATAGTTGCATCCTCGAAACGGAATTTAAAGTTATGGGATTAGTTAAAACCCCTTGTTGATCAAGCTCTCCAGAGTTTACGTACGATCAAAGATTTTATTGTAACACTTTTTGGGCCTTTGAGCCCCGTTGTATTACCCCCCCAAAAAAAAAGAATTTATTGTAACAGTGTAAAATGAGCATGACTTTTTCACTGCGCGCAATATTACGGATTCACATGATGTATTTTTTAGCTTAATATTTTAAATTCATATCGTAGTAAAGTTTAAGCAAAATTGCACATCCTCCCTTTCTATTCACAAGAGAATCTTGAGAACGTAAAAATTAGGTTTTGTTTAAGTCATATATTATGATTTTTCAGCTATGTCATTGACCTCAATAGGGAGAAGAAATAATAAATGAGCCAATTTGATCGATTTTTCCGACTGAAGGTAGTATTGGATAAAAATTCTATCAATCATATATTCAGAGTTTAATACTAAATTTAGTTTTTTTTTAAGTATTGAGAATAAACGATAGGTATCAAGTCTAGTGTTAGCATTAAAATTGTAAATTTGTAATGCTTTCTTTTTTTTGACCAGATAAAAGGTAACTTCATTAAAGAACAACAAAGATAAATACAAAGCCCAACAAGTACAACTGCACTAAAGACAGCCCAAACACAAAGGGAAACCAAACAAGCCCTAGACAAAACCTAACCCTAACAAAGAAGAGAGGGCAGCCGCCACCGTTACCAAGAACTTCAGTCACCATCGACCATTCACTAGAAGCAGTAGGGAAAGAAGTGCCATTACCAACACCAAAGCCATTATAAGGGGTGGGGGTTCGAAGAACCATCCCAAAGGACCCATCCCTCTTCTTGGCAAACCAACCCAACTGGTTGAACAACCTCCATGAAAAAACATCATAGGAGTAAAAGCACCCACAGCCACCAGAAAAATAGACGAAGGATGAGAAGGTGTTCTCGCCGACAGTTGCTGAGCGAACAAAATTGACGGAACAAAGACGTGCCCTTCGAATTCGCATCCACGAACAAACCACAATGATCCTCTGAAAGATGAAGCCATCAATGTGTAGGACCGTAGTCATCAAATCCCAGCCCCCAAAAATACAAAACGAAGTCGCCATGAGAGGTCTGCCGTCAATGAAGCCCTCAGATCTTAAAATAGCTGCTAAAACCAGACACACCACCGATAAAAGCCTAAAAAGACATACAAAGAAACTAAGGATAACACAGAAAACGGTCATCCCTCCCCCAGTCGGAGCCGGGGGAGGAGATACCGTGAAAGAAAGCTCGTCCGCTTGACGAGGGAAGAAAACTCTCACCACCCTTGCAATTTCGAGAGAGGGAGAGAGAAAGTGGGCTAATTTGTAATGTTTTCAAACATTAGTAAATCTGTTTTAATTCTCAACAAACAGAGTCACTTTCAATACTCATTGGAGTGACAAGGATTGTGGTGTTCATCAAATTTAAACCATCTATATTTAATACTATTTTTTATCTTAATTATAAGACTTTATTTGTAAAAACGAATCCTTATAACTAGGACTGAAGTAATATAAATTATTCATATTTAACTTTTTGTAGTTTTGTCTTTCTCAATTTTTTTATTTTAACAAGACCCAAAATAAAAACAATATTTTGAATTTTAATTTTTTTAAAAATATTTTTTTAATTTAAATATTATTAATTAAAAATTTTAAATTTAGGTGACCAAAGTTGTATCTGCAAATTAATAGTTTCCACGTGAGCGAAGGCCCAAGGGTGTGCCATTGGTTAAGATAAATTTTTTCTCATATTTTTACTTCATATCCGATAAAAAAAAACCCGACAGGTGGGGAAAGAAGCTTACGTAGTACGCAGCTCTAAGCATCCGCTCCTCACAACGTGGTCGTTTATAACAAGGCAGATCCAAGCGTCGACACGAATAGCTGGTTCCTCGTTCCGAAACAAACGGTGAGGATTCGACTTTGAATCCATTTTTGAAAAGTGGAAAACCCGCGCGATCTGAAAATTTTGCTGTGCTTTTCCCACTGAAATTATTACACTATTATCTTTACTGGCTAAATAAATACATTCAAGAAATTGTGTTTAATACGCTCATTGATTGGAAGAAGAAAGGAAAGGTCGACTGGGACTGATCATTGATGAAGGGTAAGAGCTACGGGAGGAGGACCAGCAGTGGAAGACGAAGTGAGTGTAAGGAGGCGACCAAAATGAAGGGAACACTTGCTAGGCACTTGCAGAATCAGCTAGGGCAAGTATCCCACTTTCCCCTGCACCATCAGTCATCATCTTCCCCCATCCCTCGCTTCCAGAACCTCCTTGAAGCCGAAGCCTGTGACAGCAATCTTCCCTCATCCTCTCCTCAGGCTCTGGATCATGTGTTTGATGCCAATGTGGACGACAAAGATTTCATCCTTAGCCAAGATTTCTTTTGGTACAAAAGTCTTTACTTCATCTACGTCGCCTCTTCTACATTTTTGGCATTCATAATCTGTGGTTTGCCCATTTCACTGGAAAATCCAAATGATTTTTGTTTAATATATTTGTCTCCTCGTTCTTTGTTGTTCCTGGCAGCACTCCAGATTACATAACCCCTGATAATCAGCATACTTTTAACGGCTTGGACTGCAACAAGGTGAAAGTAATTCAAATTGGTAATGCCGCAATCTGTATTTTGTATGCAAGACTAATTTTTAGTCCCCTCTCTTTCCCCCTAAAACAGGAGAATATCCCGTGTCCCAAATCACCGGAAAAACTAAACACTACAAAAAGCAAGAGATGCCGATTGGGTAAGATTAGGCATGGCTTTGATACTTTAGTTGGCATTGCTATACTTTGCAAAATTATATTTTCCAGGCCCCCGTCCCAGGGGAAAAGGATTGGTTATGGAGCAACTCATAAGAGTCTTGAGATCTTTGGTAAATGGTGGCATGGTTTTATTGTATGGTCGTTATGTTGTAAAATCTTGTAAATTACAGACGTGCACTGAAGAATTATGATGCATGTACATTCAACTCAAATACGTGTGTTTAATAATTCATTGGAGTCCATAATTAGTGTTTGAAGGGGTTAGAATTGTGCTGAAAAGGGTTTTAAAATATGTTGAATGTCATGATTCATGATGGTTGATCTTCTTTATATCCCAAGCACTCGATTTATTGAATTTCATCTTGCATAGCGGTTTGTTAACCGCATAAAAATGACAATAGCTATCTTTTAATGTGTTAAAGCATCTCATACTGATATACCTTTCATATTCAACCTATTTTTTCGCTGTCAACGTGCAACTTTCATAGATGGCATCTCAGGGAATCCGCTCAGCCCTACTTTGTCTGGCGGTCATCAAGCTGTGGAGCTTGGAACTGAGTCTGCTGCAGATGAATTAGATATCGAGAAACTGATTTCCACAGGCAAACCAAAGGCTCAAAATTATCTCTCGCATTCTGTGCTTGCCTTGCGCTCTAGGGTCATACCCCCTCCTTGCATTAGGAACCCCTATCTGAAAGATGGTTTAGATAAGGATAAGGATCCTTATGGGAACCAAAGATCAAAATATGCAGGTATATTTTGGTCAGCCCTCTTTAGATAAGCATGCATTACAGTTATCTGTTGGTTTTTTCCCTTCGAATTTACTGCATTATAGAAACCATGTAATGCTAGAATTGCAGGTCTGTTCCCTGCAATTACTGGCGGTGATGGGCTTTCACGCTATCGCACTGACTTCCATGAGATTGAGGTATTGCATTTAAAATAGAAATTTTAATTGCCAAGGTTTGAGACCTGAAACCTTTTGACTTCTTCCATTAATATTTCACTTTCATCCCTTTTTCCTCAGCAAATTGGTATGGGAAACTTTAGTAACGTTTTCAAAGTTTTAAAGAGAATAGACGGTTGCTTGTATGCTGTGAAACACAGCACAAGGCAGTTGTGCCTGGAAACAGAAAGGTAGCATCTTCATCTCTTTTGGATTATTCTTAACTCAGGTTGAACCATCAACCCAATCTTTCTGCGTTGCAGGAGAAAAGCTTTGATGGAAGTTCAAGCACTGGCAGCCTTAGGTTTGTAAAGTTAAATTTTCCTTATAGTTTCGTTCTTACTTAGGAATTTCATACCAAATTTTTTTTATCATTCTCTTTAGGATCCCATGAAAACATAGTGGGATACTATTCTTCATGGTTTGAAAATGAGCGGCTGTACATTCAGATGGAGTTATGTGACCATAGCTTATCCATAAGCAAGGCCAATACAATGTTTACAGAAGGACAAGTGCTAGAAGCATTGCATCAGGTAAACTCCCTTTCACGACCATTTCGATTGAATATCGCTATTGATAGCTATTGTTGACATCTAGGAACCACTGTCTGATGAACTTAATTTTTGTTTAAAGTATGATGAAAGTCCCTTTTAGTCTGTGAATGCTTAACTATTCTAACCTGAGCTTTCAAAAACTCCAGTTTGATTGAAATACTTTATCATGCTGCTGATGACCCTCTTTATTGCTGGTTTGAGAACAGATGCTGTTATATAATTTCGTCAGTGTTCTACTGGTGTGTGTTTAACTCATCAAGTCGTTAATGGGAAAGAGAGTTAAATATAATTGCGTATATAACAGAATGCCTTATTGGCTTGAGATGACCTAAGAGAACATTTGTAACTTGTTGCAGGCTAGTTTCTGTTGAGCGTTCAATGGTTCGAGCATCTTTTCCTGTGTACTCTATCAATATAATGACGTTGTACTAAATATATGCTTGTTTATTTTTCATATTTTGATCAATTTGACGTGAATTTTTGTGAAGGTTGCAAAGGCTCTGTTGTTTATACATGAAAGAGGAATAGCTCATCTTGATGTTAAACCTGATAATATTTATGTCAAAAATGGTGTTTATAAGCTTGGTGATTTTGGCTGTGCAACTCTCCTTGATAAGAGTCTGCCAATCGAGGAGGGTGATGCGCGTTATATGCCCCAGGAAATCCTGAATGAGAATTATGATCACCTTGACAAGGTTGATATTTTTTCTTTGGGAGCTTCTATTTTTGAGCTCATTCGAGGATCGCCTTTGCCAGAATCAGGATGTAAATTTTTTAATCTGAAAGAAGGCAGGTTGCCCCTCCTGCCTGGCCATTCGTTGCAATT